GGGCTAAGATGATGGATATTTTATTAAATCAGGACACTTTTTTTTGTGTTGGAGGAATAAAAAGTCAAATTTGATCAGCAAACGTCATTTTGACCTTATGGAAAGCAAAACACTAAACGAAAAAAACATCTATTTATAGTCATCATTAGCGCATGCACACCCGCACTCACACACACACACTCAATCAAATTATAAATTGTAATTAATAAAGTCTTTTCTGCTTCTCCACTAATCATAAACAGATCTATTTATCTCCAGAGTTACCAAGAACATTTTCGTTATAATTCGAGTCATTTGTGGGTTAGATTCACAACTATGTCTCACCTTATTCTTCTTGTAGACGTAGGGAGCAACTTTCTGGAAGACTCTGGGCACTTCCTGTCCCGTGTCATTGTCGATGACCCGCAGCATGCACGTGCCGATCGGCACATAGAGGCGTGGCACCAGCAACATCTCTTCTTGTACGAAGAAAATGTCTCTGGAATCACACACACAAAACATACAACACTGATATGGTCGCTTTTAAGGACAAGCGGGCAAACCTGGATTTCGGGGGTTTCCAGAAATCTTCACCTACACCAAAAGTGGGCATTGCTCTACCTGTAGAAGTTTGGTTTCATTGGTGTGTATATATTTGTTTGGTTATAGAGAAAAAAAATAATATAGAGAAAACTCTACTTGTCTTTTAAAGAAACTGAACAAGGGGCAAAAACTTTACCCTCGATTTTCTTAAAACAGCATTTTTCGGGATAGCCCCCTTGTGCTTAAAAGCGACCATATACAGTTGGTATTGTCCAAGACAGCCAGCCAGAGTCGAGGAGAAAGGTGGTTGTCTTAGACAGGTGAATGTCGTGGACAGTGCCATTACACTATTTTTAAAATTGTAAGGAGGGAAGTGGCGAGTAGCTAATTGTACAGGTGATTGTCTAGGACAGGTAGTCATTCGAGCAGATTCGACAGTATATGATCAATTCTCCTTCACAAAAAAACAATCGAAACTACGTAAAGTATGAGTATAAAACCTGAGTAGTCAATATTTCTATTCAATTTTGGAGTTGCGAGCGCCATAAAACCCTCTACTAAAACTAAAAAACTAAACAATTTTTAAAATATTGGAAAAAACAAGTAACAAAAACCAATCTATTTCTCCGGACCCTATAAGAGCTGTAAACACTTTTTTTTTGGGGGGGGGGGAAGAAGACAGTGTCAACTTCATTAAGATTTACTAAGGTTTTACGGCGCTTCCAACTGCATAAGGTCATATGAGCGCCAAGGGGTGGGTGTCAACAGAGAAGTCCAAATGGGGTATCAGACTTACTCTGCTCCCCTCTCTAGCCTTAACAGCACAAAGTCCGCTTCAACTATCAAGGCCCCCGGAAATAGCAATTCACAAGAGATTGACAAACATAAAAAAGAAGTAGAGGGAAAATAGCTATAGTAAGGATGAGGAAAGAAAAAGCAGCAGTGCCAACTTCAAAAACGTTTGTCAAACCTGAAGACGATGAACCAGGTCAAGGAAGGTTGCTCTTGATAGACACCCTTATAGTCAGAATAAGAGATTTTATTCCACTCGTCCTGGTAGAACGGATACAAGGACATAATGTCGGGGTCCCGCTTGAACATCTCTCTGAAAGGAAATAAAGAGGAGAACAATTATTTTAAAAACCAATAATAACAACATTAAAACAAAAAACAAGAGACAAAAGTAAGTCGACCCCTCACTTCTAGAAAGTAATATACCATAAAATCATCTTTTTACAGGAAAGTAAAAAAAAATTTAAGTGTCGGCCCTATGCTCTTTTGAAGGAAAGTATTCACAATATGCCCCACAAGAGGAAGAACCTAATGTGTACTGAACCCAATGCAGAAGCTGAGGAATAATGCCTGTACCACTCTTTTTTCTTAAAATGTAGATGTTTTTTACACCTCTATTGACACAATTAAGATCATTAACTCATTCGCTACGTATTATTTTCAGCTTGTGGACGAATTTTTTTCGGGAGGGCGAATGAGATGATGACTAGTGAGCAGTTAAAAGGTCTTTGGGGCCACAAATTCAAATAAATATCAACATATTATATACCAATATTTCCAGTATGGATTGTAAAATACATCTATAATGTTTATTTATGTTTTTTTCAACTTTGGTTCTTGTAAGAGGCGATTATGCAACACAACTTTGATTGGATGCGGATAAAATTTGAAAATAAAAACTTTATCATCTTTGGTGAAACTAAAAATATATGCTTGCACCTTGTCAAATGATACATCAAAATAACCATAAATGAATATAGAACTGGAAAATATTGAAAAGTTTGCAGTTAATTACATACATTCCATAATATTTGTACATTTGGATCATAACATCCGAATATTGAAAAAATTTTTTAAAATTATAATCTTGAAAAACGATCACAGACAGAAAAACCCCCACTCGTATCTTATATGGAATTATTCAGAACTGCATTTGGAATAAACCTATACATGTCTTGAGTGGCACTTTTTGTGTAATTTCATTAAAAAAGTAGTGATTTTGGGGAGAAAAAAATATTTTGACAATTTAGATCTAGATATAGACATAGATCTAGATCTGGCACTCAAAAATATTGATTTCTCAATAACAGTGTATTGGCAATATGAGTCCAATCGTATCAATATTATAAAAAAGAGTCCTACACTTCTTTAGTGGACAAAATAATAATAGATTTTGTTGTGTAAAATTACTAAGACTGGTGTCCGTGCTATAATTTTGGCATCGCGATAAAACAAAGTCGAATAAACTACGAAATCGTGTTTCAAAACTGATTCTTAACTTCCGATTTTTAGTGGAAATGTTTGACCCGAAAGTCAACATTGTATTATGACCTTTATCTTAACATGGATATGTGGATTGGAATAGAATTTAAGCTAAAATTGAAGGTCGGTTATCGAGCCGCCAGGGGCGGCTTAGCGTAGTGACGGCATGTTAGCCGTGCCGCCCCCCACGGCTCGGCGTAGCGAATGAGTTAAGGAAACAGGCTTCTGACTCAACCCGGGCTGAAGAAAGAGATACAATATCCCAGCAGACAGACCAAGATACCCTATAAACATTCTCTCCCCACTCAGGATTCAAACCCAGATCACCTGCATGCCACAGTGACGCGCCAAACCGCTACACCACATACACCAGTCTGTATCACTCTGATACTCAGGAAGAGAAAAGTATATACTACTCCATCACCTGAGTAACACAAGTCCATTCTCCTCGGCAGTGCTCTCGATCTGGGACCAGCTCTTCGTCAGGTTCTCGGCCACTTTGAGATTCTCTTCCGTTCCTTCACAAAAAGGAAACAATTTCAAAAGTAGAGCACAAAGAAACACTAAAAAGATAAAAACGTTAGTTTAGTAAGAGTTTTACGGCACGTGCAACACAATTAAGTAATATAAGTGCCGAAGATTAGAGCTGTTACTAGATGGTAACATACAGATAAAAAAAGGAGGATAGATGTTTGATAGGAAAGAAGGAGCAAGCCACACTAGCGCACCCACCAGGCATCTTCATTCAAATCACAAGTTCTCAGTAGGCATAAAATGTTTCATCTTCGACTCATTAAATTTATAACATTCAAGCAGTATACAGTATAACATGGATAGTTCGCATTCGTCGGGACCGGCCTCGGCAATTCGAGGGATCCGTAGTTCCATAGTTCGAGGGATATCTTACAAAGATAAAAGAAGAAAAAAAAGAAACAGGACCACAGGCACAGTTCGATGGATGCGTGATTTCGAGTCTTCAGGGTTCGACCTATCCATGCTGTACTGTATCATCCTTTACGTACATCACACCAGTTTAAAATGATCATGCCTCATGCAACAGCATCTCTAAGGACAAACAAAAAAACCCAACAAAACAAAACACTCCCTAGTCATCAGGACTTGGTGCTCCATGACAAAAAGTACCAAAACACCCCAAATAGTGGAAATGTTATGTATTACATCATTGATAATCATTCTAGATCCTCCAAATATTTTGAATATTACGTACTATATTGTCAAGCGTGCTAGATTATGAAAGATAATTACATTGACAATATTCACATATATATGACATACATGTATTGATGTGTTATTATGTCTACAATGAGGCATGTTTTTTTCCTCACAAAAACCCCCCCCAAAAAACAAAAACAAAAAACAACCCCTCACCAGGTGTCCTTGCAGCCTTCATTTTCCTCACGTAGTATCCACGCCAGACTTTCTGTATCTTCACAGTCTGGATTTGTTCCTCTACACTGGCTTCCCTGTGCACGGGAAAGTTAAAACATTCAAAAACGTCTTTTTGGTTTCGTTTTTGTAAGCATTTTACGGCACTTGCAACGCAATTAAGTCATATATTAATATAAGTGCCAAAGACTAGAGGTGTTACAAGTGAGTAACAAACATAAAATAGAAGGTGAGAAAATGATGACATATATGTTTGATAAGAAAGAGGAAGCAGACCACACCAGAATACCCGCAAACCACCCACGAAAAAGTTTACCAGTTCTTACAGATGAACAAATTAACTTTTGAATGGGACAGCAAATGAATGAACGATTAAAAAACAACTGACTGGGTGATGAATGAATGAATGACAGATGTTTAAAAAAATATGTTCAAACTCAAAAAAAATTTGAAAACATCTTTGAATTTAAAACAGAATAAGAGACAGAAAAAATTAACCAAGTTTTTACATAGCTTCATTGAGATGAGTAAGTATCTACATGTATTTAGACACTTTTTTTTTCATCTAAAAAATTAGGAATATACATTTATCTCTACAACTACTGAGTTATGATGTGCAAATGAATGGGGGGGGGGGGGGGGGGGGCACGTACCTGTTGGCCCAAGGATTTTCTGGTTTCTCAGCTTCACCTGAAAAATAGACATACAGAATGCAACATACCGAAACATCAAGTTACAACCTTTATGCAGTTAGGATTAAAGGAGAGCGCTCTCAGACACAGAAGTGTGAACAAGTCAAAGTCCTTCGTGTAATACTTTAATAGGAGAAAGAAACATCAGAAAGTTAGAAAAGAATATTACACAAACATTTTTCACATCAGAACACCTTCACCATTTACCAGCTAGAACAACATGCAGATTATGATAAAGAACTCTGTGAGAAACATCCAACACCGCAGACAGAGAGAGTCTAAGACAGAAGTGAGTACGGTACATCGCTGAGACCGCCCGCCCACACGTTCGCTCTTTGTTCACAACCACAGTGATGAGCACAACAAGTCAAACAACACTCCACCCTGTGCCAGTGACTAATGTCCTAAAGTGCAAGGCAAACTCTAAGGTTATGGTAAAAAGATACACTCATATAGCCCCAATGAAATGGCTGGCTACACAAAAAGCTAAAACCATATAATTTCCCCATGCTTCAAAAAAATAAATAAATAAATAAAATCCCCACCCATAATAATATTTATGATTTTTGCCAAATTGGAGATGAAATTGAGTAATGAGAAATAGCAAAGTATGATAAAAAAAGGATACATGTATGAGGGAAAAAATTGTACTCCGGAACAGCCAAAAGAGGGATTATGCCATCAAGAGAAAGCAAAAGCCGAGAAGGTGCCGTTTTCTCTCTATTTCATTTCCCATTATTATATAGGACACATACAAGATAAGGTCGATAAGTTCAATACATAATCACGTGCAAAGGGGGGTGGGGGTGGGGGGGGGGGGTGGGGAGAAAAGAAAAAAGGAAGAAAAATAACCCACACAACCCCTCCCACTTTTTATTCTCTTCCTAGACAGGGGGGCAAAACTTAGTACCAAGAGTTTAACTTTTGTTCCTGAATTTGCAACACACCGCGAAAGCTTGCCATATCGTCGGAGAACTATATATAGCATAATAACCCCAGACTCAGGTCTGCCGGGGCCCCCTGTGACTTGCACTCGCGCGCTCACAGCGAACACCAGAACTACTCACCAGCGTCAGCCTGGGTGGAATCTGGGGGTTAGAGCAGCAACACAGCAGCCCCGCATGAGAGAAAAACACAAGTGAGGTCAGTCAGCAAACGCGCAATCATGGTGCATCCACTTCAAGCCAAAACAAACTGTTAGCACTTTTTGTCACTTAACACCAAATCTTTTTCTTTCCAGGATCAGGATCAGGACATTTAAGATGGGGGCAAGTGGCTCATAGATCGAGGGAGGTACAAGCATATTTGTTTAACACTTTTTACAAATTTCTTCTTCTGAGAACTGGGGGGAAATAGGACTTGTAAAAAAAAAAGTTGGGGGATGGGGGGTCGCAGAGTGTTCACAGATTGAGAGAGGCAATGGAAAAATTACATTATACTGGTAGGTTTCTTTCAATATGATCTGGGAGGAAATAGAATGGTTTAAAGCAGGCTGAAGATCATCAGAGGTCAAAGAAGATAAAGGAAAGGGGGAAAAAAGGAAGAGTAGAAATACTGAGTTGGGTATATACACCTCTTCTCTATCCAGGGCTCTGAAGGGGAAGGGAGGGGAGGGGAGTAAGGCTTCAGAATTTACTATTACACTTGAGGGTTCATTTATTCTCATATTACCTTTCATTTTCATATATACCTACAACTTAATGTCCCTTCGTTTATAAATCAAGTATTTCATTATCCCTTTACAAAGACATTGATGTTTGAACAAAACTAGCAGCTTATGTTGCGCTTTTTCATTTACAAATTTGATGAAATGAAAACGTCCAATTTGACTTGAGGGGAAAGAAATATTTGGAAAATTAAGGGAAACTGAGGTGAAAATAGTTTTCAGCTCTAGATACACAAGGGAGAAACAGAGATGATGAGAGACTTTAAAATACACGAGGAAAAGAGTACAGAATATATACATGCATAAAATCTTTTTTTGTGTGATAAAATTAGGGATAACCTTTATCTTAAACAGTACTGTAAAGACATAAACACATGCTAAATAAAAGAGGGATATCAAATTGGTAAGTAATATAGAAACATAAAAGCAAGCTAAATATCATATTCAGAGAGGCATTCAATTAAAAATGACTAAAACAGTATGGCACAAGCTAAATAACATTATACTGGGAGGAATATCTCCATTACCAACACTGTAGTCAGATGTGTATAATCTATTAAATATTGTCGCAATACTAAGTACCATTTAACATTTGTAAACATTTGTAACAACATTTGCTCAAACATTAAAAAAACATTTTTCAAACCAAACTACTAATTATATGAGAGACATAAAGGAAGAAAAAAAAAATCAATTTCAGTAACTACTGTACACAGATAAAAACTAGCAAGATCAAAAAGAAAAAACATCTGACTAGGAGAAAATGGTGGCCTACAAAGTGTGTTAACATGGAGCACATTGTCCTTTTGTGAGCTGTGAGAGAAGATTCAGTGACAGCGTCAGGTTTGACATGTAATTCACTAAAACTACATTGAGACCTATTGTTCTTTCTATTCACTCTAAGAAGTTTGTGACTGCGGAATAAAAAAAAAGGCAATGCCGTTTTCTCTCTCTCTTAACTGTCTGGAATGTTTTGTCCCTATACCACTATGACTTGATAAATTTTAAAACCTTTAACAAATGTGTCAGAATTCTTTGAACTTTTTTCCCCATTAACTGACTAGCAACATCAATAACTTTCATTCAGCTGGTGTACAATTCCTGTGATCCCTGGTCATTGAGTATATTAAAATTATAGAAGTTTGTTTTAAGAAGAAAGAAGTATATTGATAGAGACTGAAACATGACTAAAAAATCTATTTTAAAAGAGTTAGGTGCCCAATCAACACAATTGTCAATATTTTATGTCTCCCCCATCAATACAAAAGGAATCATTTTGGGGGCAGGCTGCTTTGGCCCTGACAGACAGGATTAACTCCAGCTGAATGGGTTGCTATCATTAAGCAGTAATGCTGAGATACTCCGTGGAATAATAACAGCTTTTGTGAGCGAGGTAAAAAGCATAGCCATTACATCAAAAGCTCTCGTCAGAAGTGACATTCTAGAAACATTTCAGTTCAACAATTTAAAATGTATTAATTCCCAGTTATCCATAGTCCTACTGCTCTGATCTACTAATATAAAGAGCGAACTTAGAACTGCGTATCATTTCTTGTTAGAATAAAATGAGGAGATCAATGTCCAAAAAGTTTGTCAGATAAAGTTAGAAAAACCACCATAAAAAAAGTATAATTTTTTAGCCCATTACAATAAAATACAACCCAAAGAAAATGAGATAATACATCCGATGCTGATATGATAATCAATTTCATTAAAGAAAGGGAAAGCTGGCGAATTCAAACTGCTATGAAAGAAAATCATGAATAAGTTAGAAAAAAATAAATCAAACAGGTTAGACGCCATAAGCCAGAAGACATGTCTGACATTTACTGCACACAACTTGAAACACAAAGCTGCTTATTTCCAGTGCACACATATGCAAACAAACAACAAAATTAAAAATAACCGAAGCGGTTCACACTAAAAGCGAGAAGGACTTCACGGTGAATTAAAGACATAGGGAAGATTATAAAACAGTATGATGAAATACTAAGTCATTTGGTAAAAAGAACGAGGAGATTGCCTTGATGTGTAGAAAGCAGGGGTATAAAACTCAGATTATAAACAAAATAAAATGTAATCAAAAGAAGAAAAAAAGTTTTAACCCAAAATTTTTTATCAAAACAATATAAAAAGAGAGGTGGAGTGAGAGGAGACAAATTATCACAAATTTTAATTGGGAATAATACTGTGAAAACAAAAAAGGAAAAAAAAAAGAAGAATATTAGGAATCAAGCTGAAGTTGTACCTGTGACAGAGACGGATGATTGGGTACCACCTAAGGGAACACAGTGACGTCATGCGATAGTGAGGCGGGCAAGGACATGTCAAACTAATGAGGTACTACACAGGGTGTCTCGAAAGTCACGTGTGACCTGGGAGCATTTTAAGCTGGAATTGTAAATCCTAAATACGATGCAAAACGCAGATGTTGAAAGTGCTTTCTGTATTGTTACATCAGCATAAACCTGAAGTAATGCCGAATAGAGCAGCTATGACTGTGGATTTTGAATCAGCTTAGCAAAATCAGAATCTAAACAGGATCTTTGAGACACCCTGTGCATAAATATGTAAGCATAATTTACAAGTGGGTAGGCTCATACTCAGCATGCGGTTCTGTTAAAGAAGAGATGAAGTACTAGAGCTGCAGTTGTTTGACAAAAAGTCCTTCCATCAGCTGACCATATTCCCCCTTTGACCATATAGCAAAATGAATGAGACTACGACTGCAAAATGAATGAGACAAACGTTCACCTACAAGTCTTCAAGCACTTATGTAAGTACATCCATGCACAAAAGCGCAAACAAATACACTCCCAAATATTGGCTTCAAGGTAACACTGTAATAGATGGGCAGTATAATTAAAAGCAAAATGTTAAGAACTTCATATTTTATTGCAGCTAGATAGTACATTGTACTGACTGCATAGTGTTGACCCTATTTCCTTGGACAAGTTATTTAATAAATACAATCATGAAGAATATATGTTGGCATTAATAAAATTGATTTCTTCCACATTCCAGAAGAGTTTGTCTTACACAGACACTATAAACCCTGCAGACTCCAGAAGTTAAAAAACGGAGTCACAGAGCAAAAAGTGCAGACTGTTCTGATTTCTAAGCCTCTCATCAAGTGGAAAGTGAGCTACGGCTCCTGTACATTTCCAAACTTGATCCAAGACGATGGAATCCTATCAACATGTATTAATTGTAACTGTGCAGTATTTTTTACAATTGGATCTACATTTTAGAAGTCAATTTTCAATGGAAGTCCGAGTCTTCTTTCCCCGTGAAATTTATTTACAGCATTCCTATCGATTAACAAAGTTGACCCC